TTTTTCCTGCCTGGCCTTTGGGGTTTTTTTTTTTTTTTTTTTTTTCTTTTGAATGTGAGGCTGGGTTTACATCTATGATTCTGAAGTTGAGACAGGAGGAGACTTTCTGGGGAGAGACGTTCCTGCGAGAATGAAAAGTGAGGATCACTCAGGGACTTCAGTGTCTAAGGATGACCTTTTTTCTAGACACGAGACAACTGCTCTGGTGGGGATGAAACCCTTTCAAGGAACACTAAATAGCCCAGAGACTTAGGCAGCAAAGGACCCACATAGGGGTGACTGTGGCCCAATCCTGTCCCCAGCATTTTTCTGAGAAGCACTGTGTTGGCTAGGAGACATTAAACCCTCACATCGTCACAGAAAGTACACTGAAGGGAGCTGACTTGGGGGAGCCTAGGACTCCAGGATACCAACTGCCTTGTGAGTGGGACAGCGCCACTGTCTGAGTAGTCTCCTGAGGGCCTGTTAATCACACTGCCATCCTCCACAAGAGAGATCTGGGTTAGGAAGATGTCTGGTGTCTGCGTCACTTGAGTAGGGCAGGGCAGGAAGAGATGACTACAGAGAAGAAAACTCATGAGAAAACAACTCTACTCAGACAATACTTCATTCTTGTAGAGAAGGTAAAGGAAGCATGAGAAGGACCAAGCTTCCCTAACCAAATTCTCTTGGACCAAGGGAAGCCATGTATCTAACCTCTTTGTTGGAAGAGCTAGCCAGTGTAGACACGGCAGGGTGAGGCCCAATACGGAACTGAAGTCACCGGGGCTCAAACTGTGCTCTCTCACATGTCTCACATGTCCACCCTAGCTTTGGATTTTTAGATTTGTGTGATTAATATGGAGTGCCTGAACAAGTTAGGGAGCCAGAAAGGGCCCATGATAGAGGGGAGGGAAAGAGGCCTTGGGGTGGCTAAGTAGACCATGTTTGATATGAACGTGTGGCAGGGGGAGTTCTGGGAGTTAGAGTGGTAATGGGGATGGGTGATGGAGAGGAAGGAGGGGATGCGATGGGATAACCAAAACCTTAGCATGTATGGAAAAAACCTTATGGAACACCACTACCTTGTAAACAAATTTTAAATATACTTTTTTGTTAAAAGAGTTGGAACTGAGGTACCTTGTTTGGGTGGATAATTCTTTCCCCAAAGACATGGGCTATTAAATGAAAATTTTAGTGCCTAGTATCTCCCTATTACGTTTTGGTTAGGGAAGCTCCCAGAAGCATCAAAACAACATAGGCTATTATTATTGCCAGTGCCCTTGGTTGTCTACCATAACCATATGGTAAGGTCCTATTGCTCAAGATACAGCAAACTTTGGTTGCAGGACAGAGAATTCAAGCTGGAATCGACCCAGAAACTTCCTTCTGGGTAGCTTTTGTAGTGCCCAGAGGGCAGAAGAGAGTTAGGCAGTGATGATAGACCCTGCAGCTACAATACTAACCTGTGTCAGGCAGGATGTGTCCACTGGTGCCCAATAATGGCATGACTGTTAGGGCATGGCCAACTGCTTTCTGATTGGATTTGAGGCCTGATCCATAGGAATGCATGCCTGGTGCTGTAAACCTAGACAAAAGCCCATGCCCGATGAGGTCGCAGGCTCTGCTACTGCTGTTTTGCTGGACCAACCTGTTGTCACACTGTTCTCTGAATATTTATGTTTGCACCCTTAGGTCGGTGTTCACTCTTGGTCCATGGAGCTGCTTTCTGCAGTAGTTTCTGCAGAGATTCATAATTGGTCAGAGTGTAGAGAATAAGGGACTGCCCAGCTTTAAGTGCTCATCTGTATCCACTCTGCAAGGCTCAGGGAACATAATGGAAGAAAAGGTGGGGAGTATGTAAGAGCCAGAGGATGGGGAGGGGTGCTGTAAAACCATGCACTCATGTATGCACAGCACAAAACCTGCACAAGGTCAAGCTGGCCAGTAAGTTCAGCACAAATGGGGGAGGGGTACCTGAGGATCCAACACTAGCTGAGGACCTCTGGCCACTGATGACTGCTGTGTGTGTGTGGGGGGGGCATTTTTCTCTGGGGATGTTGCACATGCCGGCAGCGCTAATTAGATTCTGGGTTATATTTAGAATAGAGGAGGGAGGCTGCTGGTGAGATGGCTCAATGAGAAATCAGGTCCTGTTGACATGAGTTCAATTCCAGGGCCCACGTGTTAGAAGGAGAGACAGACTCTGAAAAATTGTTCTTGGACCATCACATGTGTGCTATGGCATATGTACCCACTGCATACAAAATAAATAAATGACATAAAAAATTCATTACTCGGGCAGTGATGGCATATGCCTTTATTCCTTGTACTTGGGAGGCAGAGACAGCAGATCTCTGAGTTGGAGGCCAGCTTGGTCTACATAGTAAGTTCAAGGAAATCCAGGGCTAGGTAGAAAGATGCTGTTTCAAAACAAAACAAAACAAACAAACAAAATCAAAACCAAAAAAAGGACAGGAAGGGGTAAGAGACATGTGTGGTGGTCTTAGGGAATGGTGGGAGGGGTTGGTGTTGATATTATCAAGACTTCAAGATACACTGTATGTATATACAAAATTGTAAAATTGTCAAAGAATAAAAATATTTTTAAGAAAAAAGTTACAGGCTCTCAATTCTCAGAGTATTTTGATGAGGCTGACAGATGTGTGTATGGGTGGGGCAGCAAATAAGTCCTAAGGTGGCCAAATGTCAATCAACACAAAGAAGCCCAAATAAAACAAGGAGGGGAAGCAATGTGGGCAGCTACAACCAAGGTAGTGGTTCGTGCTTGCTAGATGTGTCAGGGGAGAGAGAGGGGAAAGGTGAGGATGTGACTCTTGGAGGCTGAGGACACTTAGCCCTAAAGATGGAGATGCAGGAGATGGCAGCATCTGAACGCTTGTAGACTAAGTGCCCACAGAGGGCTACTGAGGAGGGTGTTTTGTATATCATAGGTGACATTTGTTCCAGGGTAATTGTCTATGAACCTCTTCCTTGATAGAGGAGTGACTGCTTTGGGCCATCTGTTGAGATGTTCCTGAATGACCTTAACTATGCTGACAGTGGCCCTCAGCAGGTGATGAACCCAAAGACTTAGTTCACTTGGGAACTTCCCTTTTATTGGGTACAGTTGCAGGTTTCCCTAGAAATCAACCCCTAATACCCTTTCTGTTGGCTCTCAGGGACACTCTTTTGAAAGAACAGGATCCCTAGGAAGAGATCACTACCTTGGTCAGTTTCCATTCTCAACTCAAGGCTTTGGAGAAGGCTGCAAACCATAACTGCCCATCACAGACAAAGGACATGGGTACCATAGCCCCTCCCCAGTTAGTGATGCATAATGAACGTGTTTTGGAGATGAAGACAGATACTCACCACTTAATGAAGTGGACCCTCTTGTTTCCTTGAAGAACAACAAACCCGAAAGGAGTAAAGGCCAGAAATGCTGCATTTCCTGACACATCCTGTAATAGAGAAAGACTTCTCACTGGGACATAGAGATGTAGCCATAGAGGAGAAAGGGTGGAAACACATTGTTCTAATTCTAGGGTGGTGGCAAAAACCTTTAATCCCAGCACTCAGGAGGTGGAGGCAGGAAGATCAGAGGTTCAAGGTCACCTTTAGCTGTATATAGTGAGGTTAAGATCAGTCTAGGCTGCATGAGACCCTTGTCTCAAAACCCACACCCAGGATATTTATAGGAGAAGGAGGACAACTTTTAGTAGGTCACAGTGGGATGTGCAGGGCATTTAAGAGCACAAGACCATGGCTTGAGTTCCAGCCTTGCTGTTTGCCAGATGAGCCTCAGAGTTCTGTATCTGGACAATAGACACCAATGTCAGCAGGCCAAAGACAATGTTAAGACTTTGTGTATTGCTGGTGGGATTTAAAATGGTATGGTCACTTTGGGAAATAGTTGGGTAGTTTCTCCAAATGGTTAAATATAGAGTTACCTCATAACCCAATAATTCCCCTTTTAGGTATATGCCCAAGAGAACTGGAACATGTCTATAGGTGTGTGAATGCTAATAGTATAACTGTTTATAGTAGCTAAACAATGTGAGCAATTCAATCCAGCTTGAAGAGTAAAATGTTCAATTGATAGGCAAAAAAACAAGTGGTAAATGGTGGTATACTGGATTATTATTCAGCAGTTAAGAGGAAGGAGGTCATCATATATACAGCAGGACTGAACCTTCAAACACCATGCCAAGTGAAAGAAGCCAGTTATAAAAAAATGATGCTGAATGGTTCTGTTTATACATAATGTTTACAACAGGTAAATCCATGAACACAGAAAGTGTATTATAGGTTGCCAAGGGCTGGAGGGAAAGGGAAGTGGGGTATTGACCAAGAGTGGACATGAAGTTTCCTTTGGGCAGGGGAAGGGGGTCATAAAAATATTATAAAATTAGTTGGTGGTGGTGACTGTGAATATACTAAAAACCAATGGACTGCACACTTAAAAGGGTAATTTTATGACAGGTGACGAGTGTGTGTGTGTGTGTGTGTGTGTGTGTGTGTGTGCGCGCGCATGTGTGCACGCGCTCGCATGAGCAAGGACACTCTCGTTCGTGTTGTGTAACTGTTACTAATCAGGTCTGTAATCCTAGCTACTCCCAAGGCTGAGGCTGGAAGATCCTAAATTAAAGGTCTGCCTAGCTTACAGAGTTAAGTTTAAGGCCAGTCTGGGTAACTTAGCAACTTAGAAAAGAGGGTTGGGATGTGATTCATTGCTAGAGTACTTGCCTAGTGTATGCAAATCCCTAGGTCCAATCTTGACTATTGCTAAAACAAGACAAAACAAAAATTTGCCAACAGAGTCAGGTTATCATTGTCTTGGTATATGTAATACCAAGGGGTTAACGCCTTAAGGAAGTTTAGATGAAGACAGTGCAAGGCAGTGACGTGGGTCCGAGGGGACATAAGGCTATGGTGGAGGGAAGTACATGTTTACAGGGATGAGAGGTAGGGAGGGTGTCCCATCAAGCCTTCTGAGACACAGAGAAAGGCCTAGAAGGAAGAGCAGCTAGAGGAATGGGAGGGTCAGTCCTGGATTGAGTTGAGGGCATGTGTCAGAGAAGCAGTGAGGGGTGAGGGTGGCTCTGAGGGCCTCTGATACTTCCACCTTTGCTAGTGCATCAGCAATTGGCAGAAAGGTACCTGCGCCATGGCCTGTTAGGTCCAGGTCTGGTTGCCCTGCATGACTGTAGCCAAGTCCTTTAACTTCTCCACATCTTAGCTAGAGCTGTTACCTCAGGTGTTCTGTGTAACAGATGGTCAGGTACACTAATGGCTGCATCAACAGAAGTATAGTTGCTAAGGCTGTTGAACTTTAGGCAAAACCCTAACATTTGACTTTCTCTTGCTGACAGTTTAAAATTTTCTAGTTAGGAAATGGGTTTGGGAAGCCAGACCAAAAAGGAAGTCTTGGAGCAGAAGAGTTGGATGGTCACGGACCTGATGGGGGCAGAAGGGAGTGAGGCCCAGTGAATGATATCCCTCGGGCACAGCAAAAGCCAGAATGGCTAGTGCCTGCCAGGTTGTATGACCCAGACACCCTCAGATGGCCTCCCAGTGAGGGCAGGGTTGGAGCTGTGGGGAACAGCCTCTCCTGATGGGACTGGCTTATTGGGAGTGGTGAGTGTTTTCGTCAGGATTTCTGTCACTGGGATAAAAACACCATGACCAAAAGCAACCTGAGGAGGAAATGGTTTATTTCAGCTTACAACTCTCAGGTCCCTGAGAGAATTCATTACAGGAACTCAAGGCAGGAGCCTGGAGGCAGGAACTGGAACAGAAACCATGGAGGGGTGCTGCTTCTGATTTGCTCCCCAAGGCTTGCTCAGCTTGCTTTCTTATACAACCTGGGACCACTCCCCACCTCCAGTGGCACTACCCTTCCACACCAATCACTAATCAAGACAATACCCACAGACTTGTCTACAGGCCAGTCTTATGGAGGCATTTTCTCAATTAAGATTCCCTCTTTTCAGGTATATCTAGGTTTGTGTCAAGTTGTCAAAAACTAAGCAGCACAGGTGGTGAACTTATAAATCCTGATAAGAAGCAATTAATTGCTAGGTGTGGTGGCACATGCTTTTAATTCTAACACTCGGGAGGCTGAGGCAAGTGGATCTCTGAGAGTTTGAGACCAGCCTGATCTACAAAGCCAGGATATATAATACTATACAGAGAAACCCTGTCTGGGAGGGAAAGAGAGGGAGAGAGAGAGAGAGAGAGAGAGAGAGAGAGAGAGAGAGAGAGAGAGAGAGAGAGAGAGAGAGAGAGAGAGAGAGAAAGGGGGGAAGACAAGGGGGGAGAGTCAATCCCATGGCTGAAAAAAACCAGATTCTTTTAGGAACACTGTAGATAGATAGATAGATAGATAGATAGATAGATAGAGCAATTCTCCGAGAATTGTAGATCCACAGAGGTAAACAAGAGCCACGCCAGGCCCTTGCACTCAGCACCCACAGTATTGAGTTCAGCCACAGGGCTGGCTGCTTGTCTCTGTCATGTGGGCTTCAGGGACCAGCACAGAGTGGGACCTAGAACTACAGTGAGAATCACATCCACACTGGAATGGAAGTATAAGTAGAAAGCCCATTCTGGAACATTCCAGTCTCTTCAGTCTAACATGCCATTCTTGGTATTTGCCTGTGTGGTGGTTTGAATAAGAATGGCTCTCCTAGGCTCATAGATCTGAATACTTGGTCATTAGGGAGTGGCACTATTTGAAAGGATTAGGAGGTGTGGCCTTGGAGGAAGTATGTCTGGGGGTGGGCTTGGGGGTTTCAAAAAGCCCATTCCAAGCCCAGTGTCTGTCTTTTCCTGATGCCTGTGGATCTGGATGAACTCTCAGCTCCTTCTCCAGCACCAAGTCTGCCTGTGTGCCACTGTGCTCTCCACCATGACGACAATGGACTAAACCTCCGAAACTGTAAGCAAGCTCCAATTAAATGCTTTCTTTCGTAAGAGTAGCCTTGGTCATGTTTCTTCACAGCAATAGAACAATGACTAAGACAGCCTGTCCTCAGGGTTTGTATGCCAAGTAACACTTTGCATGGCAGAGAAAGGAATGAAGACAAGGAGAGAAGTGTCCAGTTATTGCCCCACAGTCTTCCTTCTTAGCAAGCAAGAGTCTGCCTGTTCCCTTCCCATCCCAGGGAATCAGGACCCATAGGACCGAGCCTTTCCTGTATCTAGGAGGAAAGGAAATGGATCCTGACATCTTTACAGTTCGTACGGCCACTCTGCATCTCCTGACAGAAAGACGTAGTTCTCTTCTGCTGCTGTGCGATAAGAAAGCTTGTGGAATCTTCAGACTTGGTTTAGGGACCCTGGATCTATTTCTCATTTGCTCTGCGACTGACTTCACACCCCAGCTGCTTCACTTGTGAATGTGGGACACTGACGAAGACCTAGAAGAACACTACCAGCTTGTTTAAGAGGCAGTCTGACTGCCTCAGTGCTATGGCATGGCCAACAGTGTTCTTGGAGAGGAGACAAACTTGTTCATTTCCTCTGTTCCAGACAGGGTCTCATGTGGTCCAGGCTTGTCCTAAATCCTTGTGTGTAGCCGAGGGTGGCCTTGATCTTCTGCTCCTTTGCCTCTGTTGCTGAGTGCTAGGATTACAGATTTATTTATTTATTTAGTTAGTCTGGGTTTACATTAATTTTTATATGATTATTTCAGAAATCATTTAGGTCTGTGTCTTGTCTGTATGGGAACTGGTGGTGAGTGTGCTTAGCTCTTAAAGTTCATCTCTGTAGAAGAAAGACTGCAGGCAGGGATTGCAAAAGCATAGCCTTGAGACCAGACAACGCTGGCTTCCAGTCTTGGTGCTGTCCTCACTGGGAACTTCCGACACATTAGTAGGAACCTCCTTGGCATCTCCAATCCCTCTTACTCTCTTTTAAATCTGCACTCCAAGGTCTGGTGTCTTGGTTTTAATGTGAGGGGGTGACAGACTCTTGGTAGTGACACATGAAGATCGGTAGATAATCTGAGGACCTGACACATGTGGGCTCTCAGGAAGTGTCACCAACAGGCCTCAGAATGAAAAGGCTGGACATCTGTGATGGAGGTACCCCCCTCCTCTAACGCCTTAGCAGGGCAGCCCCATCAGAACCCACAGTACTTAGTTTTGAAAGACCCAAGGCAAACAACTAGCCTCAGGGCTAGTTTGAATGGAACAAGATGGCGACTCCTGAATTTGGAGAGGAGTCAGGGAACAGGCACCACAGCAGGCCCTTCTCTCTTCCAGCAGTTCTAGTCTTGGGCTTCTGCCAGGACCTGGGTGGGTAGTGCAGGTTGTGGCACAGTGGAGGATGGCCCTGTGCAAATTTGGGGCTTGGGTGCTCTGGCTCCCTAGCCAGGGTCTGTAGGAGTCCCTCCTTCTGGTCTTAGGACCAGACAAAGACACTCTGGCAGGAGGAAACCATCAGCATACACAGGACCAATGTTAGCTTCTTAATCAGTCCCGGAGAAGAGAGCTGGGCCGGAGCATTCTGCTCTCATTTAATTATCAAAATGATTCCTCTTCTGTCCTCCCTGGGGCTGCATGCCCCAGATTCCCTGGGCCCAGTAATTGCCTCCCTGTTAATAGAAATCATCAGTATTTATTACCCTGAGTGTGCCAGCTTCTTCCAGCGCTCCTTGTAGCAACATTAAGGGGAGTGCTTGGTAGCACATCACTCAAGTGAGGCTACTTAATGATAAGAGTGAAGACTCCTGAATTGCTCTCTGCCTCGGAGGACTGAGGAAACATGGCCAAGGCCTAATAAGAGGATCTGAGGGTCATGTGTGGAGTCTGCAGTGGGGCCCTGACATGACCCGGATGAGGAGGATGCCCAGGTCTGGGAATGTGGGATCAAAGTCCAGTGAGGTAGCTGCCCTTCCCCATTCTGCAGAGCAAGTCTCTCAGGTGTCTCTCTTATTATATAGCTGCAATGGAAATGATCCAAGTTCAATTTTTTTGCTCTGCCTCCCAGGTCCTTGTGAACTTTGACTTTATAGCACACCAACTTTCTTTCTTTTTTGGTTTTTTGAGACAGGGTTTCTCTGTGTAGCCTTGGCTGTCCTGGAGCTCACTCTGTAGACCAGGCTGGCCTTGAAGTCAGAGATCTCCCTGAATTCTGGGATTAAAGTTGTGTGCCACCACTGCCTGGCTACATCAACTTTCTTACCTATAAAACAGGGAGACTAGCACCCATCCTAAGGCTGGCTAAAGAGTCAGTGAAAAATAACATGAAAGGACCCAGTAGCTCTAAATGGGAAGTGGACTATGCTCAGTCTCTCCTCCCTCCCTCAGTTCCAGGAGGAGGACCACACACACAGAACAGAGGCTTCAACCTCTGGGTGCCCATGATGGACAAACTTGTCCAAGTCAAGGCTGCATCAGGAGTCCAAGGTCCTGGAGTGCACATGGACTTAGGCTTTCAGACAGTGGCTCCCGTGGGCAATAACAAAAATCCTACCTGAGTTATGTCAGCTGTCATGCTCAGGGACACTGCCTGCCTATTTCTGCGTGCTGTGACTCTAACCCTAACCCTCTCATGTTGGCCTCAAGGGGACTGGAGTCTAACACTGAGGTGATCTGGCACCTAATGACCACCCCCCTCTTTCTGTGTGTGTGTGTGTGTGTGTGTGTGTGTGTGTGTGTGTGTAAACTTCAGGACAATTTTTGTATATTAGGGAAGGCTGCACTTCTGCAACAGCTGTTTTTTTGAGGTCTTAGAATGGCTTTCCAGCTCAGGGGTAAGTGCCTGCACACCTATTGCTTTCTTAGTCATAGATTTGAAGAGTGGGGATCAGAATCTAACAAGGCCCCAATAGTTGATGAGGACTGGAGCTTAGAGCCAGATGTCCCCAAACACTTCTCTCCTATGAGGTCCCCCTGCTGCCTGCTGGAGTGTCTAAGCAATGGACAGAATTGCTAAAATGATTTTTTTCTCCAGACAGGGTCTCACTGTGTAGCCTCGACTGGTCTGGAACTCACTATGGAAACCAGACTGGCTTTCACTCACAGAGACTCACCTGCTTCTTCCTCCTGAGTGCTGGGATTAAAGGCATGAGCCACAAGCTTGGCTAATGTGTGTGAGACCCAGGCTGGTCTCAAACTACTGATCCTCCTGCCTCTGCATCTTCAACATATCCTACCAGTAAGCACCATCATGAGAAACCTAAACCACTTTTGTTACTCACAGGACACATTTAGGAAGCCTTGCTAATTTTTTTCTCTCCCTGAGACAGGATTTCTCTGGGTAGTTTTAGAGGCTGTCCTGGAACTCACTCTGTAGATCAGGCTGGTCTTGAACTCACAGAGATCCACCTGCCTCTGCCTCCCGAGTGCTGGGACTAAAGGTGTGTGCCACCACTGCCTGGCACTAATTCTTATATCATCTATAAAGTCTGTCTAAGTGTGTGGATATGCTCCATGACTTCTGAGAGCATAGGCCTATCTGGCAGTGAGTTACACAGTGGACAGGGAATTAGGTGGAGGGAGGAGGTTTGCGTTCCAGAATGTCCTCCAGCATTTTATTACTTCATAGGCAAAATGAAATCACCTCACCAGGGCTTTGCCCCTGTGCCCCTTAGTTTTCATCGTTTGTTATACATTGGATTTTATCCCCCTGTAAACAAATTCAGATGTTGAAGTCTTAGTTCCAAGTACTGGGGACAGGATCTTCTTTGGAGGTAGGGTCTTTATAGAAATTAAAATTAAGTCAAGGCTGTGAGATTGTGCCCAACTCCAGTTTAACTGGCAACCTTATACAATGGGGGAGATTTAGACATGGACACAGCAGAGGGGAGTTGATGGGACGACCCATGATGTAGGAGGATGGCCATCAAGCTGGAATGGGCTGGAACAGATGCCTCTCTTAGGGCCCTCAGAAGGAACCAACCCATCAGCACCATGGAGTCCCCTTCCAGCCTCCAGCACACAGGCAATGCGTCTGCATGGAACACTGTTTGGAACACCATTACAGTGGCCCCAGGAAAGGAACACATCAACTCTTGTTACCGCGTCACCTCACCTATGAGGAAAAAGATGCTGATCTTGCTCTCAGTTTTAGGGTTGTTGGAACTGCAGCCTCTCCAGGAGGAAATAGTTGCATAGACGAGGTAAAACAGAGGCAGTGACCAGCATGTCAAAGCAACAGGGACATGAGCTGTGGTGGGGGGAAATGGCCAGAGCCAGGAAATGCTGTGGGTCTCGCTGCTCTCAGGGGCGGGCTCACCAAACTCATCTCGGAAATGCTAGGAGCACGTGAGTAATTACAGAGGTTTCCCAGGCACCGTGGCCCTGGTGTGTTCCTGCTTCACCCTCCCAGGTACATAATGGAATCAAATGTGATTCCATTGCGGTCCCATGGGGTGACTTGTGTCACTGTAGTCAATAAAACCCACTCTTGGGAAGAAACTAGATTACGGGTCAGTAAAGGGTGGACAGCTGCTGAGTGATTGCTGATTGCTGCCTGTGGGGAGCTCTCCACATGTCCCCTCGATTCATTTCCACCAAATTACCCCCAGCTGCCAAAGCAGGCCACCGGGTTTGGATTTGTTATTTAGATTGCCTTTGCCTGGAATCCTCTGACAGTGATGTGGAAGTGTCTGATCCAGAGGTTTTCACATGGCACGGTAGAGGCACTCCTGTACACTGAAGGGCCTTGGGTAAAAGCACCCCATGCCTTGCTGGGGGGGGGCATAGCCAGTGAAGTCACCCATGGGGGTGTCTTACCTTACATGGGTGAGGGTCCACTCCGTAGGTCTCTAATGTCTGTGCCTTTCTTAAGAAATTCAGCTCTGATGTTGCTGGTGTTTGACCACTGGAATGAAAAGGAGATGGTCTCAGGGCTCCCATCCCTCAAGTTTCCCAGATGTGAGCTCCCTGGTAAGAAGTGGTCAGCTGGGCAGACCGGGCTCTCTGGTGCAGTAGCTGCAGTACCCTGGAAGCCCAGCGGCTTATTACATACAGTTGATCAGTCACGTGGGATTATTACAGACAGCTGAATAGAGAAGTCAGACTTAGCCTACTTGGTAGGAGCAACCTCTGTAGGAGAGCCATGTTCAGGCTGCTAATGTCTGGGGGAAGAAAGCTATAGCGAACATTTTCTTGTGCACATTGTCAGTATTTTCACTGGACCCTGAGGAAGGCTCTGTATCTCTTTGGGCCTCAGCCTGGGTAGGGGGAGGCTTTGCTACTCTCATGGGGAAGAGGCATAAAAAAAAAAAAAAAAAAGATGTGATCAGAGTAGGCCCCACTCTTCCATTTTTTCCATAGTGTTCTCCTGTTTGGTTGTAGAGCAAACTTTAGAGTCTCAAGTCTAAGGTCAAAACTCAGCGTGAGGGCTGGAGGGTGACTCTGTGCGTAAGAACACTGGTTGCTTTTCTAGAGGATCTGGGTTTGCTCCCAGTACTCACATGGTTGCCCACAACCTTCAGTAACTCTAGTCCTAAGGGCTCTACTGCCCTCTACTGGCCTCAAGAGTGCAGTGCAGGGCACACACGGTACATAGACATCCATATGCACAAATAAAAATAAAGAACTAAAAACAAAACTCAGTGTGAAACAGGCTACATAATGAGTCAAGTGGGCTTAGAGCCAAGAGCAGGGAGAAGTAGGGACAGCTCTGAGGCTACAGATTTCCTGAAATACATACGAAGCCAGACATACTTGGGAGGCAGAGGAAGGGAGTCAGGAGTTTAAGGCCAGCCTTAAGTGCACATAGAAAGTTTAAGGCTAGCCTGGACTATATGAGATCCTGCCTCAAAAAAACCAAAAGTCAAAATTGAATCAAAACAAATAAGCAAGCAACCATCATTGCCCCAAAGGCAACCTATGTGAAAGGGTTGTGTGACCCCAAGGTTGAGAATGACTGCAGTAGGAGATGCTGCTATGATTCTACACTCTATAGCTCTGTGTGCACAAATGCAAACAAGCCTGCTCTAGCCATCTGAAGAGGCCGTGGCACTGCCTGCCTGCCTGCCTGCCTGCCTGCCTGCCTCCTGGAAGGTGTAGATGAAACCACCTTGGAGTCAGTTGTGGTAGCGCTAGCTCTGGATTCCTCTGCATGCAGAGTCCTGGAAAAGCAGACCAAGCGTGAGGTGAGGAGGGCAGCTTGTGAGGTCAGTAGCTCTGATGGCTGGCGGGCAGGAACAAAAGTTGTCCATTACTAAATTTATCATTTGCCTAAAGTCATATGGCCAAGCAGGAAGTAAGCCCACCCAAGCGAGAAGCAGGCCAGGCTCCCTGCGGTATCCCCGCTGAAGAGGCTGTTGTCCCTCGGCTCTGAAACGTGCCAGCCTCTGTGCTACTTCTGGAAAGTCGATCAAGAAACAAGTCCAGAGCCTGTGCCCAAAGGAACTGTCAAGTTTGCAGAAGTGAAGAAAACTCGGACATTTTATACTACAGAAGCAAGGCAGAACCCGAGATGCAAGGGGAAATTTGGAAAATGACTTTCAGGAGCATCTTCATTCCAAGTCTAAAGGAATCCACCCCTTGAAATCCATTAATCTCAGGGGTTTTCTCAGGTATCCAGGAGCTTCACAGAAGCCATCATTCCTGGAGGAATCCCTTGCCTTGAACTACCTTTGTGCAGAAATTTCCCCACTCCTCCGACATCTTACCCTCTGGGCAGCCAGCATAAATCCTTCACCTCTGAATGGGAGCTCACAAGCATCTGTCGTCTCGATTTCTAACCACAAGGGGTCACCATTTTCCTAACAGTGACAGGACCAACCACTGGGCTGTGCTCTGAGAAGACTGGAAAAACCCAAGACAGGAGCCTGCCTGGTCACAACAGACACTGACAGTCTGTTCGAAAATGGTGAGGCGGCTTTGGGTTCCGTTCATTCCTAGAAGCTTTGAGTGAACATGAAGGTTTTGGGGGCAAGGTTGTGGTGCGGTAGACTCTGGTTTAAATTCAGTATTACTAACAGCACCAGCTCCCACCCCAGCACAGTCCTTCCTCAGAGCAGGAAATTAAATATTTGTAATGAATATAATCCCATTCTTATCCACTGCCCAATTTCCAATTCTGTTACAGACCACATAATTTCTTTGATTTATTCCCTCCAATAATACTTTCCCATGAACGATTCATGGCGTGGCAACAATTTGTGGCTTTCTTATCTTTGCTTCTTTTTAAAGGGTCTTAAAAAATGAACAGAACCCACAAGGAAACCCATGGTTTTATCTAACTAATATACTGAAAATAAACAGAAATAAAAATAAAACACAATTCCTTATTTTAAACGTACTTTAAATTTAATCTTTTATATGTTGGTTAAAACATTTTTTTTGATTATTGCTTAATTGTCCTAATAAATCCAAAGTCCTAAAAGTTGAATGAAATTGTAACATATTAAAACGGCGACCCGGCTTCTGGTTAGTCCATAGCATTCTAACACACATAGCTTCACTTCAGGTAGTCTATTCTTCTGGGAAACCTGTGTTCTAGCACGATGCATGAATTTGGAGCCCCCTGTACCATTGCTCTTTAAAGTCACTCGCCGCAGAAAAGCCTGTTTAGTGTGGGTGAAAGGCTGCATCAGTGCTGTTTATGGTTCTGCATAAGCTGGGTAGGCTAAACCAAGCTGAGGAATGCAGGGCTCCGTGGGCATCAGCCGCTGCAACCCGGGTGCAGGTGTCCCACAGCGTGCTGAGGCTGCAGTCTCTAAACCACAGCACTGGCTGGAAGTCAGCTGGGCCCTGTGCCCATCCAGCTTAGCTGCTCAGCTTCTGAGATCAGACAAGGTAGGGCTCATTCAGAAAGCTGTGGCTGCAGACTGCTCTAGGTGAGGAGATTGGCCTCACTGAGAGGAGGCTGTGCTGTCAGTGGATCCCCAGTGGGAAATGGGACGCCCCAGGGTCACCAGTACTGGGAACATCAGTGTGTGAGCAAGTAGTCTTGAGAGCAGAGGATGCAGCCAGGAGCTATGTGCTCAGTGGCCTGGGCCCCAAGCAAGTGTCACATACCTGAGTTCAGTCTTGTGAATCTCAGCAATTTTCTTTTCCAGTTTCTCTGAATGTTTTGGGAAAAATTGGAACTTGGAGCTGTAGCCTTCAGGGTGCTTTCCTGGGTCATAATCACCTATCTCCGCTTTTCGGAGGCAGGAAAGAGAAAAAACAAAAAACAAAAAAACCAAGATTAACACATGGCTTGGAGGCCAAACAACGAAGCAGACACTGAGCTTGGCCCTTGGCTGGCAAGAGGGCAGGCACACAGGGAGCAGCTGTGTGCCTTCTTTTTCCTGCTGTACACAGTAGGTTGATATTCAAGTCAAAGCAGAGATAGTAGGGCCCTGCGCTCTGAGTTCACAAGTAAATTTGCAATATGGACCTCAGTCATTCAGCCACACGGGAAGTCTTGGGAGCCATGATTTGTACGGTAGCATCAAACAGTGAGCTTGGTCAGGAAGACAGGACCTCCTGTGCTCCAGGTTAGATACCTAAATCCCACCCCAAAGATTTTAGTAGGGACAAGAGAAGTTGCTGACTGAGTCTCGATTCCAATTTAGACTCATCCCTCACACACGGAACCAGATGAATACATTCAGTGTTCATGGTGGGCTCACCAGGCAGACCTGCCTCTGGGAACATGGCTAAAACAGTGACGAAGTGCAGGAGCACCAGATTCTAAGGCTGGTTTTCCAATGCTGTGCCCAGTGCCATGCCTACAAAGTTCATCTCTAAGGCTGAGGGGTCTCAGGGAGCTCTTAGGAACACTCTTTCCTTGGTGCTCTCCCAGTCAGAAGCCAGCTTTCTCCACATGTGGTGCCCAACTAAAGGGTATCCCAACAAAGGAAAGAGGAACTTCCAGCAGCTTGCTGGCTGTCTCTTTCCTTCTCTTGGAGAGTCACATGCTCTTCAGTTGAGGCAGAATGAATACTGGGAGGAAAACAAGGTCCCTGTCATAGCTGAACACAGTGCTCTGGGCTTGTGTGTCCCAATGCCAATTATGGCTCCTTCCAAGTTACTCAGGGCTAAGTGTGGTGGTGGTAGATGTCTGTAGCCTCAAGCATTGGGGAGTCTGAGGCAGAAGGCTCACTTGAGCCCAAGAGTTCAAGATCAGCCTGGACAACTTAGTGAAACCATATGTTTAAAACAAGCAAACAAAAATCTAATCAAACTCCAAATTCCAAGGAATTTTTTTGTCATTTAACAAGAGATCTTGTTCCTTGAGGTATGAGTGACCTTGACCTTGAGATCATTTACTTTTATTTTATTTGAAAAGCTTCAAGGGGAAAATATTGGTGTTGGTGACTAAATTTTTTCTGAAAAAAAAAAAAAACAACAAAACAATATAATTATCAGGGTGGACATGAGGAAAAGACTAGAGTTTAACATTGCAAGCAGAGCAGGCCAGCTTCCTCTTTATAAAAGAAAGAGGGACTCTCTGGGTATCTCTGGACACACAAGCACCTGCTCCACTTCCCGTTGGCTGGTACTGAAATGGCACTCTCAGAGCCAGAGCCCCCAGTGGGCTCACTTTCCTCCTTGTACCACAGGTCTGGTATTTTTCCTGCCAGCGAGCTCTTTGCAGATCCTCCTTAAGTTGCTGCTGAGAGTTCCCTGAGTCACAATCAAGGGTTCCTGTTTTTAATGGGAACTTTATGGTTTTAGGTCCGGATGATCCTGTTGTTAATAACAGTTTCAGACTGGAGGATTAAGAAGATTCCAAGGAGTGGCACTTGAAAGGCCTCAGCATTTCATGAGGGAAGGGCATGGCAGGTCCCAGAGCCAGTCTGGGAATCAGCAGCAAGAAGCTCAACTCTTCCTCAGGAAATGGCTTCTCACTTGAGCATTCGTGCAACATAGAGCATTCTCTGCTGAGAGGTCTACAAAACAGACACCAGAATCCCATCATGCCTCACACTCTGGCAATTTGCATGAGAGGGTGGGGACAAGTGACTGATTACTCTTCAGCCTCACAGAAACATTAACGTGCAGGGTACAGGACAAGATTAAAATGATGACTCAAGGGGCTAAGTAATGAGACCTTGGGTGCAGGAGGGCTCTGGGCTTTTTGACTCTAGACAACCCAGGAAAAATCCTTTAACTTGCTTCAAGTTAGAAGCTGTTTTGATCTAAGAAGTTGTCATCTGTTATAAATGGAATAATGTAATCAGGACTTAGCGTGAAAAGCAAATTTATCCTGTCCAAAGTCATTACCTTGAAGGATATAGGCAGCTAACAAGGCGGCATCCGACGTTTTACAGAGGAGACGGCCATGGTAGAGATCCCTTTTGATCTGCAGGAAGACTAAGTACCTGCAGAGAAAACAGCGAATGAACTAGAAAGGATTGCTTTGATTGCTTTAAAGACATAAATATGTAATATAAGCCTATCAAAATCTTTGTCAGGGCATTTTTTCCTACATTAAACTTTTTTTTCAGACCACAGAACAAATACATTTTCCATTTCCTTGCAGGCTCTCAGGTACTTCACTCTGAACTATTAATTGTTTAAGGTTCAGATCAAAACAACTTATCTGTTTCCTCTATAGTGCAACATAGACATATTACTCCCTGGCAAAAGCACCTCCCCCTTTCCCCTGGCCCTCCCCCCTTACTCCCCCTCCCTCCGACCACCACACAGCGGGGATCTGGAGGGAACCAGCCCCTGCCAGTCTGATACAATCGAGAAAAACTGTGCCATCAGGGATGAGGAAATAGGGCCCGCCTTGGGCCCTATTAAGAGTGGAATGGTGGGTGAAGGCATATGTCAAGGAAAGAGTTCAGCCTACGCTGGGCATTAGAATCTGTCCCCCTGTAGGTTATTGGCAGAGGTCAATCAGATCTCTTCAAATCCAAATAAAAAGGAATAAGCGAGGGGCTAGAGAGATGGCTTGTGGTTAAAAGTATATACTGTTCATGAGGAGGACCTGAGTTTGGTTCCCAGCACCCATATTGGATGGCTCATACAACCCATTGGTAACTCCAGTTCCAGGGTATCTGACATCTTGACACCCTCTTCTGGATACTGCAGGTACTTGTACTCACATGTGCACTCCTGTGTGTGTGTGTGTGTGTGTGTGTGTGTGTACGAGAGCACATGCTCCCAGGTAGTAAACAAACGTGAGAAGTGGCTCTCATGTAGGAGCAGAAAAGTAGGTGCTTGTGGCCAACATCTTTTAGAACAGAATGTATATGTGAGGCAAGGTATCAAGACAGGAGCTAGTACCTGCACGGAATACCTGTCTGCTGGGGCAGACGCTGTATTATTCACATCTAATATCTCATTTAATTCTTACACTACACTTTGAAATAGGCACTATTATTACCTTCACCTTTTCCAGATAAAGCTGAGGCTTTAGTGGTTTTCTCCACAAACACACAACTAAATGGTAAAAAGCCAGATCCAAATTCACAACTTCGGGACTCCTGGCCCTGGCTCTTTAACATTGCATTCATTATACTGCGCTCTGAGACTGCAACTGCTCTGTAGTTTCTTAAGCAGTTGGATCGCCTCTGACACAGTGGGATGGAGCTGACAGTTTCCCATTTGGAAGTGTTTTTTTTTTTTTTTTTTTTTTTTTTTTCCAGAGTGCCGAGAGGTGAGCATACTCTCACAAATCAACCGACAAGAGCCAGCCTAAGGCTATGAGGCGAGGTGCATCTGTTCCTTGAGAGGGTCCTCTCTTCCACTGGCTTCGTGGCCAGGAGGCACCTGTGGTGGTTTAAAAACACATCCACTGATCCTTCATACTTCATTTCATGAGATCCCCCTGAATTGTCACCTTGTAGGGGCTGGCCTTAGTGATTCACTGTCAGTAACAGAACAAAACAGTGATTGTCTCATCAGTCATCACAGCTGCTTGCTCTTTCTCTTGGACCATTCACTCTATCTGATGATGCTTATGCTGTCCTACAGAAAGGCCCATGGGGAAGAGGGACACTTTCTGCCAACAGTCACATGAAAGCCCTCAGATGAATAAAGTCCCAGCTGGTCCATGACTGATCCTGAGCCAGAGGCTCCTAGCTAAGCCACCCCTGGACTCACCGACGGAAGTTCTGACATGGCCTGCTACTTTAAGCTAAGGTTGACGGTTCTTTGTTAGACAGCCATACATGACTACAGCATCCCTGGCAGAGCAAGGAGTAATGGAACTATAGCGTAAGTCCCCTCAGTTCCACTAATTTCCACCAGCAGAATTTAGGACTTCCTTGGATAACTGGTTCCCTGTTTTACATTCAGTCTGAATTACAGGTCCAGTTAATCATGTAAAAATGCCCAGAGAGAAAGAGAACCATCAACAGTGCAACTTTTGGTGGAAGTAGGAGAGTGAGTTCTGGGCTTAGAGAACAGATAATCAGTCAAGGAGCTTTCTTACCTCTCCTGGGGTCTTGCTACTCCAAGTATAGCCCCACACCAGCAATATTGGCATTATTTGGAGCCTGCACCTTTTACCAAGCTCCTCACATGACTTGCATATAAGAGGCAGAGTCCTAAGAAATGCCAAAGTATCCCCGTGACCACATCAAGACGTGGTCCCTCCCTCAAACCAAAGGGAAGGTGAGGACTTCCGTCTGGGAGTTTGTAAGAGCCCTTCCTCTCCTCCACCAAACCCACTTGGCCCTAACTTTGGCCAAGAAAAGCTGGCATCGTGCAGAGTGAATAATTAAGATGGATCTATCAAATCCAGCTTGTCTGCACTCTGCTTCCCACAGTGAAATGCCAAACGGTGTGTGGGAGAGGCGAGCGAGCACTTCCCTGCCTCTCACTGTTCCAACTCCCACCTTCCACAGGTTTTGGCAGGATGCAGCTACAACCTTTGCCCCAACTCATTGCTCACTTCCTGGGCTCAGATTCACATATCATTCCTCCTTGATGCTCTCTCATCTATGACTGAAAATCTGGGTCAGGGTACCCTGGATGAAGGGAGATGTTTCAAACAGTACCCACAGATCTGGATGGTGATTCTCTGCCACAGACTGAGAACATCCCCCTAGGGCAGCATGTCAGAGGTGCTCCTGTGGTTTCTCTAGAGTTTCTGATCCTCACTGAATGCAAGCTGCCAGCCTTCCTCACAGAGAAGACTGCTGCTCTGCAAGGTGCTGCTCTGCAAGGATGGGCCCATGGCAGATGTCCAGGGTGAGGTGGAATGAATGTACATAGCTCTCTGAGGCTGGCAGTCCTTCGGACTTCTGATTTTAGGACAGCTGTAGGGAGCTCAGGGGGAAGGTCATAGAAACTCTCAAGCAGTGCGAACAGAGGGGGGAGGGAGGAAGGAGGGAGGAAAGGATGGCAAGTTATACCCTAAGGAAAACAAGTCACTAGAGAGCAGGAAGAAATGATCTCACTAACAGACTCTCCAATGTCTTCACCAGGTCCCCTGATTCTGCCACAGTGGTGTCTAGAACGTTTTGGGTTGACTTGGTGCTGAAACTGTACCCCACATGACCATAGCACCATTAGACCTATTCCCGCAACAAGACACGGGTGTGCTCTCACCGCACAAGGCCTCTGGGGACTATCTTGTGTGAAGCTCTGCCATCAAGGCAACTGTGTTGCTAAAGTATCCCCGTGACCACATCAAGACGTGGTCCCTCCCTCAAACCAAAGGGAAGGTGAGGACTTCCGTCTGGGAGTTTGTAAGAGCCCTTCCTCTCCTCCACCAAACCCACTTGGCCCTAACTTTGGCCAAGAAAAGCTGGCATCGTGCAGAGTGAATAATTAAGATGGATCTATCAAATCCAGGGATCAGCCTGCCTAGCACAGCCAGGTGCTATTGTTCCTCAGATCCAGAGTTAAGAAAGAGTTCCCTTGACTCACAGCTGAGGAGACGTATCCAGAGATGTGGCATGACTTGTCTACTATTACCCGTCAGTAACAATTCAGGCTCGGATTCTGGGCCTAGTGCTTTTCTACCCTGTGGTAATTCCTTTAGCTATCAGAGGAGAGAGAATTGCCTTAAACTCTCTTTCTCTCTCTCTCTCTCTCTCTCTCTCTCTCTCTCTCTCTCTGTCTGTCTCTGTCTCTCTCTCCCCCTCTCCCCCTTCCCTTTCCCTCTCCCTACATACATACATACACACACACACACACACACACACACACACACACACACACACACACACACACACGGACTGGAGAGATGGCTCAGTGGATAAGATTGCTTGCTGTTCTTCCAGAGGACCTGAGTTCAGTTTCCACAAGGCTTCTATTTACTGCCTGGAACTTCAGTTCAGAGGATTCAATACCCACTTTTGGTTTCTGTGGGCACACACACACTTTCATTTTTCTCTGGGTAGCCTTGGCTGTCCTGGAACTTGTTCTGTAGACCAGACTGGCCACAAACTCATAGCGATCCACCTGCCTCTGCCTCTGCCTCTTAAGTACTGGGATTAAAGGTGGGCACCACTATAGTCTGGCTATACACACTAATTTTTTAAAAAAATATTTTATTTTTTATTTAGTGTGAATATGTGTGTTGAGGTCAGAGAGTTGGTTCTCTGCTTCTACTATGTAGTGCCAGGGACTGAACTCAGACCTGCGGGTTTGTTTTTGAGGCAGGTCTCTCTTCTCTTGCTGTGCTGTTTAGGTACACCAGTCATGTCCCCCACCCCCACTCCGTCCCCACCTCAGGTTAGGAGTGCTGAGCCTGGGGTTTCAGATGGCAGGAATTCAGGTTGTCAGGGTTGCTCAGCAAGCATGGTTACCCATTGAGCCATCTCGCTGACCCTTGGTTTTTTATTTGTTTTATTTTTAAAGCTTTGCTTATCTCTTTCTGTCCTTCACAAGGCTAGGAACTTCACAGGTACTCTGGAACCACAGTCACTCCTCTCAGAGTTACATATAAAGGAAGGGGAGACAGATGACAGCATGAAACAAGCAGCCCCCCCTTTCTGAGTGCACACTGTGCCCCAAACTCCCCTGCCACACACATACACACTTCCTCATTCAAGCCTCCAATAACTCCATGAGTAACTGCCATTTCTGTCCCACTTTCACATATGAGGAAAAAAAATGCAGAGATGTACTGCTGCAAGCCCTGTCTCCTAGCTAAAAATAACGTGAGATTTGAATCCAGGTCTTCCTGGTGTCTTAGCCAGGGCTGGCATGTAGGACCCACTGCTCTTCTTTCTAATGGAATCAAGATTTGCTGGAAATGGTCTTGCTCACTCATTCATGCATCATCTATGGCTGCTTCCGAATGGCACAGACAGAACTGAGTAGTTGTGACAGAGACCATATGGTTCCAAAAGCCCAAAACACTTACTTTCTGTCCCTCCCAGAGGGGTTTGGCAGTCCACGTTAGCCTGACGGAGGCTCGGATAATATCCACTGAAAGAATAAGTGAATGGGGACGCCATGTGCTCTTGCACACATTCATTCCCTCTATCGAATCCCTCCAACCCCTATCGTGTGCCAGGCCCTCTGCCGCCTGGGAAAGTGCAGCTGTATCAGTTTCTTTTCATACTTGATCTCTCAAAGAGTTTATCCACCTGCAGTCCCTGGTAAAAGCTAAATCTGGTACCTAACTCTCCATTTTCTTGGTCTCATCACCAGTCTAGACAAAAAAAAAAAACAAAAAAACAAAAAAAAAACTACTTATTATTTAAAGACAAAAATGACAAAGGAAATTAATCAGGATTTGGAAGCTAAATTTGTCCTGTGGGAAGGGCCTGATGGGTAAGATGAAGCAGAGTTCCCCTCTCCCATTTTTAACTGATACTCACTTTCTCTCTTTATTTAATATTTATCTTTATGTGTATAGCTGTTTTGCCTGCCTGTATCACTGTGCGCAGTGCCCACGGAGGAGGGTGTTAGATCCTTTAGAACTGGAGTTAACAGATGGCTGTGACCCTCCATTAGGTGCTGGGAATTGAACCCAGGTCTTATGGAAGAGCAGTCAGTGCTCTCAACCACTGAGCCATCTCTCCAGCCACTTAAGCAGAGGTCTTTACTCTCCAGCTCATCTCAGCATAGTTCAGTAGGAATGGCTGAGATGGCAGTGAAATTTAGGATCAAGATTGCCAGGGGGGTGAAAAATGACATACCGACAGCTAAATTAGTTTGGCAGCAAGGTGGGATAATATGAAGGGCTCAAAGCCAGCAATGGATTGTGGGTGCCAAGTGAGGCTGGGGCAGGTACTGGCTCTCTCAAGAGCAGTAGGGATGTGAGCGGGAAACAAAGGGCTAATTCCATGACTTTACAGAATGTTACAGGGAGGGACAAAAACTACAAATCAGGCCAGGCACCCCACAGATCACAGTACCGACAATATGAGAAAATTGCACTCTGGGGAAAGAAGGCTGGCAAGGTAAAGATGGAGGGGAAATCATCTGAGGTGGTTCAGGAGGACACATACAGACAATGGAGGTGCCATTACACTTGTCATTGTCCTTGAAGTCTGCTGACTTGGTAAGAGGCCTGGCCATGATCCCAGTGCTGTGTTGTCATGGACCATGTAATCAATTTGGCAAGGAGCACACTGAGGCTTCACTCAGTGGGGGCTGGAAGTGTAGGAGGAAGTTTAAGACCCTCCACTGGGCATGGTGACACAGGCTGTAATCTCAGCACTAAGGAGGTGGAGGTAGAGAATCATGAGTTCAAGACCAGCTTAGGCTACATAGTAACATGCTCAACAGAGCCTTGTCTGGATTTATGACCCACAGAATCTGTGATAATAAATGCTTGTTTTATATGTTTAATTATTTGGTTTTGTGAGCCAGAGTTTCATACATTCATACAATATATTGATCATATCCACCCCTTCCAACTCCCCTATGCCCCCATTCAAGACACAGTCTTATGTAAGCCTGATTGACCTCAATTTTTTTTTTTTTCCTTTGAGACAGGGTTTGTGTAACAGCTCTGGCTTTCCGGGAACTAGCTTTGGAGACCAGACTGGACTTGAACTCACAGAGATCCACCTGCCTCTGCCTCACAAGTGCTGGGATTAAAGGTGTGCACCACCATTACCTGTTTTTTTTAAATTTAAAAAGCTTTTATGTGTACAGGTGTTTTGCCTGTACATGTGCCTTTGTACCCAAAGTGTACGTGATACCCAAGGAGGCTAGACAAAGTATCAGATGTCCTGGAACTAGAGTTAAAGATGGTTGTGAGCTACCTGATGTGGATGCTGGGAACCAAATGCAGGTCTCTGCAAGAGCAATGTGTGCTCTTAGCCGTTGCACTCTCTCTTTAGCCCTGGCCTCAAATTTTCTATGTAGACAGGATGGCTCCTGATCCTTTTGCCTCCTTTTCCTAACTGCTGGGATTATAGGCATGAACTACCACACCTGGCCTGAAATTTTTTTTTAAATTTTATTTTGTTGGTGTTTTTGCCTGTATGTATGTCTGTGTGAGGGTGTTGGATCCTGAAATTACAGACAATTGTGAGTTGCCAAGTGGATGCTGGGGATTAAACCCAGGTGCCTTGGAAGAGCAGTCACTGCTCTTAACCACTGAGCCATCTCTTCAGCCCATTTTTTTTTTAAAAAAACAAAGAATAAGGAGAAGATGACTATGATGATGACAAAATGGAGGAGGAAGAGAAGGAGGAGGAAGAAGATATGACTGGATGGTTAAGAGTACAAGTTATACAATAATGAAAACTGGCATTTACATCCCAGCACCCATATTACAAGCCAGCATGCTTGTAACTTTAACACTGAAAGATCTGGTGACCTCTTTTGGCTTCTGCATGTGAGCAGGCATGTACCCACCCACACACTTGTACACATGTGTACACACACACACACACACACACACACACACACACACACACACACACACACACACACTAAATAATTAAAACAAACAAACAAAAATAAGCTAGTGAACTGGTTAATCATTCCAGTAATTTGCAGAATTAGATATTACTATTCTCATTCTGTGAGTTGTCCAAAGGTCAGTGCAGTTGAATAATGTATGGCCAAGCCCTGCAGTCAGGAAGTAATGTGACTTGAACTAAGTAAGTGGATTTGAGCTACCAGGTTTATGTGGCTTCTTGATAGGAGGGCCAGTATGTTAAGACAATATAGTTACATTTGATTTAAAAAAAAATCGATGGTGAGCTTCTACTAGTCAAGAAAAACCATTAGAAAGCCCTGTGTCTAAGGGCAGTCACAAAATTGCTAGACCAATTCCTTTCAGCCCTACTGTGGGGCCAATGACAAGGAGAACAGGCAGTGCTGGTGGTGGTAGGAGGAGAGGAGCTGGCTTTTAACCCAAGTGTTAAGTTTGGCTGGGTGATGGTGGCGTATGCCTTTAATCCCAGCACTCAGAAGGCAGAGGCAGGCAGTTCTCTGTGAGTTTGAGGCTAGCCTGGCCTACAAATTAAGTTCCAGGACAGTCAGGGCTACACAGAGAAACCCCGTCTTGAAAAACCAAAACAAACAAACAAAAAAACCAAAAATCAAGGTGTTAAGTTTGTTCTGGCCTAGACAAGAGTAGACAGGGTCTGCTCTAGCACTTTCAGCAGGAGAAGGGAGCTCAGGTCATGAGAGGCAGTGTGTTCTGACAAAACACCTGTCAATTCAAGTTGGTAAACACAGTGGCCCTGTCCCCCTGGACCTGTCTGAAGCTACAGGGCTGCTCATTAGGATGGTGGCAGTCACTTTCAGTCCCATGAGGATGAGCAGAACCCACAGTTCTCACTTTCACACTGCTGTCCTCTGAGCTTTATAGCTGGCGAGTACACACAGCTCTGTGCATGTGCAGGAGGCAGCCTTCCTGGTCTTGAGTCCAGAAGATTCTCCTCAACGCACACTGAAGCCACTTGCCCTCCCTGATGCCTTCCTTGTCTCCTCTACACTACCTTCCTGTTTCTCATCCTCTCTCCTTTTTCTGATTTCTCTTCTGAGAGAACCCTCTATCCCTTTCATGTGCTATAAAGCCAGCAGCATGCTCTTCCCCAGTAATGAAAAGGATTCTGCATTCCTTCGTCTTCTGTTTCCTGGGATTTTTAAAAGTAGTTTAGGATCCAAACCAGATCTCAAGACTATAGGTGTGGGACAAGTTGTCTATATGATGGCAGCCACCTCTTTTCTGACTTTGCTTTCTCCAAGGCAGTGGGGAGGGAGTTAGAGTAGTCAGTGCCATTTCTTCCTCAATGGTCCCACCTGCCAAAGGTCAACACCAGGGTTTTGCTCGTGACAAAAAAAGGGATCCCAGAAACACAGAAGTTCTGGATCTCAGAAGCAAGGCTTAGGATAAGTCTGGTTTAGATGCACAAAGCCCTGGGGAGCTGGGCAGATCCTATTCACCAATCCTCTTGCAGGGTGGCTGTGGGCTAGAGGCTTGTTCTCTTTGTCCAGTGGAAGAGACAGGACTCATAGCATGCCTGCCCCAGAACACGATTCCCACAATGAAGAGGGCTTCATGCACGTACTCAAACAGCATGCTAGGATCTACTGGTTTGGATCTAGAATCTCAATGTTTTCCACCCTGCCTTCCCATGTCACTCCTCGTTATTTCCCAAGTATATCCTTTGGGCCACCGGAGTCTATTTCCAAGCCTGAAATCAAGCAGCAACATAGCCGGCTCCAAAACCATCAATAGAGCCACATTATAGTCAAGAGAAAAAATGCTGTTGAGCAATTAGTTACTCTAGATCCCTTGTAGAGTAAGCAATCAGAAACTCAAAAGAGGGAAGTTTCTGCTGCTCCATCTCCAGAGGCAGGGAGCAAAGAAAGTGGGAGGCAAGAATACACAGTGCAGGCTCTATCTAGAAAGCATTCCCCCAAAGAGAGCGGGGCACTTCAAATCCAAGGCTCCCACCCTCCCCCACAGGCCATCGTGGCCGGGAGCTGCATGCCAGCCTCACCTGGTTATTTCTTCTTTCAGGGCAGCTGGGTCTGCAGGGTAGAACTTCACACGGAAACACATGGTGAATGGGGGCTGGGCTGCAGGAAAAGGCAACCGTTAGCAGACGACTGGGATCCTCTCCTAGTGTAAGGTTCTCCCTGGAGTCCTCCTTGAACCGTAAGAAAAATAATCCCCGTTTGGGCTAGACCGAAGGCTCATCATTGGGAGCACTATTGAGTACCCAAGTTCAATTCCCAGCACCCACATGGTGGCTTGCAACCATCTGTAACTCCAGATCCAGGGGACCTGATGTCCTCTTCTGGCCTCCAGGATACCAGGCACACATATGGTGCAATACATACATACATGTAGGCTAAACTAAAAAAAAACTTTTTGTGGGTAGGGCAACAATATATTAGAACAGTGGAAAATTACATATGTAAACAAGTCTTACTACCCTTGGGGGTTTTCTCCCCTCCTCCCAGTGGTAAAGCTTAGATTCTTCATGAATACTCACATCTCAGTTGCTTCACCACTGACTTTGTAAACTCCAACCAATGCTGAAACAGAGAACACAAGACAAGGCAAGCCCCCGTGAGAAGCAGTGTCATGTGAAAACTGTTTTTATCCAATTGAAATGGCGAGACAGAATGCAATCTTCCTGGAGTAAAAGCAGCCCCAACGCTCATTATGTATAGAGGTTTGGAGAGGGAAGCAGAGTTCTGTAATAAGCACCCATGATGGACCAGCTGTGAAGGGAAAATCGTCTCTGCTTCAGGTACCATTCCCAGACTTCCTGGAGACACCTCCCAAAGCAGGGCGCCAAAGCTTTCAGCCCTGTTCCTGGCAGGTCCACAGGCACATATAACTATGCATGTGTGTACAGTGGGCTTGGCTTGAGTAGAGAGATGCTGGGCCTAATGTTGGGTGTGCATTGTGCTAAAGGCCAACTTCTTTTGGCAGAGGAGTGGGGAGGAGGGTGTTGGTGGCAACTCTAAAATCTATTGTCAAGAAGAGATTTCAGAGAGAATCGGGCCTAGAGATATCTGGCATATACTTCCGTTTTATTCTGAGTAACAGAGGTAGTCAGTCCTTTTGTAACTCACGCTCTCCTGGCACACTAGGCTGTTCAAAATCTTAGTTTCTTGTGATAATTATCTGTAACCAAATGTGTAGAATAGTATCCTGTCTCTCATGGATTTTTATAGCTAGAATATAGTAACACTACATTTTTCGTTCTCCCTCATGTCACTTGAGCTTGGGGGAAGGCAGCAATGAGGCCATTCTAATCTCTTTCTCTCTCTCTTTTAAAGATATTTATTTATTTATTGATATGTAATAATATTTATTATATGAAATATGAAATAAATATTATATGAAATACAATATTTATATTTATTCATTTATTTATTTGGTGTGTGTGTGTGTGTGTGTGTGTGTGTGCACGCACATGTGCGCGCCATGTGAGTACATGTGTCCATGGGGACCAGAAGAGGGCATCAGAAACCTGAAAGCTAGAATAGTGGTGGTTGTGAGCTGCTCTTCTGTGTGGGTGCTGAGAACTGAATTTGGGTCCTCTGGAAGAGCAGGAAGTGCTCTTAATGGCTGAGCATTTTTCCCCAGCTTCAGCTCATTATAGATCAGTTTATAAAATTCATTACTGATGCTTGTTGCTTTTATATTAAGTAAGTAACTTTCTGATTGGTAGGTAGCTGAAGCTTCTATTATTTGGGGGCTGACTGCTTGGAGGTAGCTTAAAGATGCTAGCTATAAGTTCCCTGAGGACAGGAAATGACTTGTTTACCAAATAATTGCTAGGGCCTACCTAGCATGTGGGCAACTTGCAGTTGTAGAATGGACAAAGGATGGGTTCCTTGGTGCTTTCTTTCCTGGCTACTTCCACTTAGTCTTGGCAGGGACCTTCTTCTGCAGGAAAGTAGCCAGACAGCATCTGGCCTCCCTCAGTTCCCAGCTCTCAGCTCCTGGGCTGGGCTGTGGGTCATGTAGTTAATGGACCCACTAAGAGCCAGTTCTGTCAGCTCCACATGGATAATCTGGGCTGACATTCTGCTCTCTTGCTTCCTCTGATCCGAGCTCCCACGAGGCTGGCAACTTATTACAGCATGGTTAAGAGGCCCTTCTCACATTACACGGCCCACCGCAGCTCTGCTTCGCAGGGAAGCAGAGACAAGAGGGGTGATTGCATGGAAGCAGCTGGAGCTTGCAGCCTTGCCTGGGAAGGTGCAGGAGGCCTGGCTGGTTCAAAGCAAACTAGGGCTGTATAGTGGGGAGGACACAGCCAATGTCAGGGATACAGTAAACAGAGCATCCTTAGACTGACAGGTAAGGAAAACAAAATAAGATGGAATGACCAAGACATGTGATCAGCAAAGGGAAGACAAAGAGGCTCCTCCCCTTGGCAGTAGCAAGAGATGGCTTTTGTTTGGACTGTGGTGAGAGCTTAGGAGAAGAATGAAGCTGGAGAATCTCAGAAGAGTTGGAAAGCTGTCACAGCTTGTCTGAGGGATTTTAGAGATCCAGTGGAGAAAGCTTCAGATTGTCCCAGCAATATGGTGACATATTGTAGACTCTTGTAGGCTGAGTCCCAGATCTAATAGTAAATAGCATGAGGTAGTATCAGGGAAAGAGGCAAGATTAAGAAGGAAACAGGTCAAAGTGGAACAATCTTCACATCCTGTGGCTTGAAAGGTAGCAAAAAAAAAAAAAAAGTCGCAGAGGGCAGAGGCTCAGGCTGAGTTGAAACAGCAGGGCGTGGCATGAGGCAGCTCCCCCAGAAGGATGGGGAGGTAGGAGCCCCAAAGACACTCAGTGAGCAAGCAGTGATGGAGCTGTCGAGACCACCATGGAGCCTGGAGGAGGAAGTTCACCTCATACCTCTGGGAGTGAGGCATTCACCTCCTCTACCTCTACCATGAACTAGTGGATTTAGAATAACATCATCACAGGTCATGTAAGGTCTCCCAGGACTCTCTCAGGCCTCTGTACCCCATGTTCCCCTTTCTGAGACATGGAATCACCCCACTCTTGGGCTACCCTGTGACTTCAGCATGACACCCAGGAAACCATACAGTCTATAGAACCTGCTACCCCTGGGCTCTGGACGGGCATCACCACTTACCTTGGTTGGACAAGTTGTCTTCATCTACTTGTCTAGAGTCTCACGCCACTTGCCTTAAGGATTACATGACAGAACTGAATAGGGCTCTTGGCTTAGCACCAGGTAGAGTTGGTGCTCAGTCTACGTTAACCTCCAGCTGAGCTTTCTTTCCATAAAAGGCCATGTTTCCTCCTTCCAAATCTTCTCTTGTTCGTCCTTCCTTAATCTTGATTAACTCTACATACATCCTTTTTCTCCTCAAGCACATTCTGACCTAACTAAAAAAAAATGATCAACTGGACACATTTTGCCCTTTTACTTTATATACCACTAGCTCTGGGGGAGATGAAGTCATCTGGGTGTATAAGCCCCCCTCCCTTTTAAAGAGAGAACACTTAGCTTGAACAAACACTGCCAGGAAAATCCCACCACTTTCTAGAGAATGGGCATGTACAGCAGCAAGGACAGTTTCTTGCTATCCAGGTACTTTGTGGCCCCACACTGAAGTCCACAGCTAAGGACAGAATGTCCTTAACATAAATCCACTTATACTCAACCTGATAGAAGAGAAAGTGGGAAGTAACCTTGAATGTATTGGTACAGGAGACCACTTCCTGAATATAACACCAGTAGCACAGACACTGAGATCAACAATTAATAAATGGGACCTCCTGAAACTGAGAAGCAAATGACACTGTTAATAAGACAAAACAGCAGCCTACAGAATGGGAAAAGATCTTCACCAACCCCACATCTGACAGAGGGCTGACTTCCAAAATACACAAAGAACTCAAGAAACTAGACATCAAAATACCAAATAATCCAATTAAAAATGGGGTACAGATCTAAACAGAATTGTCAACAGAAGAATCTCAAATGACTAAAGACACCTAAGGAATTGTTCAACATCCTTAGTCATCAGGGAAATGCAAATCAAAATGACTCTGAGATATCATCTTATACCTGTCAGAATGGCTAAGATCAAAAACACTGATGACAGCCTATGCTGGAGAGGATGTAGAATAAGGGGAACACTCCTCCATTGCTTATGGGAGTGCAAACTTGTGCAGCCATTTTGGAAATAAGTACGGAGGTTTCTCAGAAAATTGGGAATCAATCTATCTCAAGACCCAGCTATACTACTCTTGGGCATATACCCAAAGGATGCTCAATCATACCACAAGGCCACTTGCTCAACTATGTTCACAGCAGTAGTATTATTTGTAATAGCCAGCATCTGGAAACAACCAAAGAATGGATAAGGAAAATGTGGTACATTTACACAATAGAGTATTACTCAGCTGTAAAGAACAAAGACCTCATGAAATTTGCAGGCAAATGGACTAGAAAAAAATCATTGTGAGTGAGGTAACCCAGACTCAGAAAGACAAACATGGTATGTACTCACTCATAAGTAGATATTAGAAGTAGTGTATAGGATAACCAACCTACAATCCACAGCCCCAGAGAGGCTAGATAACAAGGAGGCCCCAAAGAAGGATGCATGGATTTCCCTGGGAAGGGGAAATAGAAGAGATCTCCTGGGTAAACTGGGGGCAGGGGTGGGGGAGATGGAAGATGGGAATTTGAGAGAGCGGGTTGGGTAGGTGCAAGAGGCAGGTTAGGGGTGGGATGGAGGGGGAGTGGGAGGGGCTAGGGCGTCTCCCTACAATTCCGATAGCTCAGTCGGTAGAGCATCAGACTTTTAATCTGAGGGTCCAGGGTTCATGTCCCTGTTCAGGCGCCATTGGGCGGGGCTAGTGTGTCTCCCTACAGGGGAGAGTAATGAAAGAGACATCTTCATGTGGGTGACATTTTAGGGTTTGAGAGATGCCTGGCACCAGGGAACCCCTCAGGAATATCTACAAGGATGACCCCAGCTAAGACTCAGCAATAGTGGAGAGGGTGCCTGAACTGGCTTTCTCCTGTAATCAAATTGGTGACTACCCTAATTGTCATCAGATACTCCATCCAGTAA